CAACGACTGTAGGTTATCCAGAACAGTAGCACCATCCTCACAACTACTTCTACACAGACCTCTGATAGTAGGTGCCTTTATTCCTCATAGTAAAGTTTTAACCACCTTATTCTCTTATATACCACATTACTGATAGTGTATTCTGCTTTTAAGACATTTGAATTAGCCTAAAAACATTAGAATCTGTGATATACACGTATATCCTTTCAAGTCTATTGTATATTGATGTACAGTTTCATAAGTAATGAATGATGATAACAATGATGTTTGTTCACAACTGGGTTCAGGGGACAATAATTTTGAAAATTAGCTCTCATTATTCTCATTAGCCACTTCTTCCATAACAGAACATAAGTCACAGTATACAGTTCACTGGTCCTTACCTGTAGCAACCAGAGCATTGTGTCTTGCTGCAATGATTTTATATGCCTGAGTTCTCCCTTCAGAAGCATTTATATTTACAGGGTTTAGGAGAGAAGAGGTTTCTTTCACTGCAAAAGTTGGTGGCTGCTGTTGGTAATGGTTGCACTGCAAATATTTTAAAGGAAGTGGAAGGACCATATGCACGCATAGGAATATATGTTGCAGGGGATGGCATCAGTGTCTTGTTGTAGGTGGTGGGAAATAGAACATCAGGATAGTCTTTGTGACTTATAACTGAGGGCAAGGGATCCAAGTAAGGGGCAGGAGATTGTGGGAGTAATTGTGAAACAGAATCTGAGCCACTCTGTTCAGGCATACCCTTTCAACTGTAGTGAAATCGCTTTCCAAGAAATGTCTGCTGAACAAATATTTCTTGTGCACTAGTCTAGAAGAATCAATAGTGCAGGATATTACAATTTTTCCTGCCCATACCACAGCCCTGTAAAAGTAGAACAAACTGTCTCAAAACCTCGAAATAATTCATCAGTAAACATTACAAACATTGTGCAAGTGCTAAATTTTGGGGTTATGTTGAATAAAATGAACGCTGACATAAGTTAAACTTACTTTCTTGGTTGGACTAAACAACACGTAATAAGGTCATTGCACCACGAATTAAGAGAGACACACTGTGCTGGATTGTTGTGGAAGTTGAAGAATTTTACTTCTTCATGCTACTGGATGACAAGCACCCAGAAGCACTGCAAATTTTTGTTCTCTTCTACATAGGTACACTGCAAGAAGCAATACAAAAAACACCATCACGGTACCCTCATGACTCTGCATGTTTCCCCTTTACCTGATACATGGAGACTAGTGGTTACCTTCAGGCTGCAGCAGCCCCACCCCTCCCCAGTATAAATTGGATAGGAGGGGATACAAGGTTAGCTGAGTCCCCAGAATTCAGACCTGGTATGGATGATGTGGAGAAGGGGAAAATCTCTTGCCCCTGCCAGGAATCAAACCCAGATTCCTCAGCCGATCATTTAACTTTATAATCAGTTTCATAACCAAACAGTCTGCAATGTTTATCAATGTTCTCTTAGCAAAATTATGGTTAAATATTATATGTAACATATATTAATACGAAATGTTCCAAGTTTCTCAAATGGCTATTCATCTGCTCTTGGCAAAATTATAGGCAAATAGGTATTATATGATCAAATGATATACAGTAAAACTTGGTTATAGCAACATCGGTTTCTGCGACACCTTGTCTATTGCGTCAAATATTCAATGGTATGAACTAATTCCTCATAAAGCAACTGTTTTTATACCTTGCTTAGTACGACATGCACAAATGCATCAACCTCGTATGTAACGTCATTTTCATTCCTGAATTTCTCTGATATCGTGGGAAAGTTCGATGTGTCTGCCCACCCTCACTTTCTCTACTTGCTGACGTGACTGTCCTGGAAGAATACGACCGCGGGCTGCAAGAGGGGCGTGGGTTTTATGCGAAAACAAGGGTGTGGGGTGGGACTGCGTGAATAGTGCAAGAGGACGCGGCAGGTTGTTAACTGCATTCCTTTCCTAGAATCTCGTCTAACAGGACCTCACATTGTCTACTTACCCTATAGTGTTCCTGCCTAAACCCAGAGAAGTGCAGTAGCGAAAACATGGCAATGAAAAGGAAAGTTTTAAGCATTGAAGAGAAAGTTAAAGTGATTCGTGAAATATTGTGTGTATTGTCAGTGAAAAGCGCTGTAATATGCCTTTGATATTACACATTTGGGCAATTCTACGTTAATGTTACGTTAGTCTGTACTTAACTATGTATTTCACTAAAAAATGCAACATTTTAACTCGGTTTTTGGTAGATTTTTACGTGACTAACATAAGGCTACTCTGGAAGTGCCCATTTCGGTTACAACGACATTCATTTATAACGACACTATTTTTAGGTCCCTTTGATGACGTTATAACCAAGTTCTACTGTATTAATATATTTTACATTATTTCAATTTTTAGTTCAAATCTTGAAACTACAATACTTCTCCTTTAGTAATCACTTTCATTAGTTTGTATGTAGTTACAAATTGATATTACATAATGAATGCCAGTAACATAAAAAGGAAACCCACATGGGCAAGTCAAAAGTGATTAATGCTATGACAGGCATGCAAAATTATGATAAAAGACAGAACACAGAATGTTATTAAGAATATGTAACACGGGCAATTTTAAATTTGGGTCTTCCAGTTCTGATTTATTTTATAATTACACAAAAAGATGAGAGAAGAATTAGTAAACATTGCTTTATCAACAAAGTTCAATAATGTATACAGACACAAATCACATATCTGTACAGGTAAGTTAATGAAAGTCAGTCTAGCCTGACATATTGCAGTAAATGGACAATTACATGGATTAAATCCATATTATCGAAAGTATGAGTAGAAAATGTTTCTCCCTTTTTTGGGTATACATGAAGTTAGGTTCTTGTAGATGCAATAAGCCAATAGCCATGGTATTAAAACTGGAGGGCTGTATATATGATAGAATGATAGGAACATACTTAAGTTTAATAATGGTGACTCTGAGAGCTTGACCAATGATGCATGGAAAGAGAAGCATCAGTTTTAATGTGAAAACTTGATTGAGCAGGTTGGTGTAGTGGCAACACACTATAATTATATTCAGGAGATGCTCAGTTTCAATCTCAGCCAAAACACCATCTATCCTGCAAGCTTTCTCATTTATTTTCCTCGTGCCCTGCCATGGCAATAATCCCTCACAATTAGGCCATGCCCACTTCCTTCAAAATCCTTTTCAATTCATTATTCACCAATCATCCTACCTTTCGATGCTATACAGTGAGACATTGACAGCATCATTTAATAAATCATTATAATTCACTCTGTATTTCTTATGCTTCAATTTATTAGAACTGATGTAGCACCAGAGCACACAAAACATTCAAGTGCTACATAAAAGAAAATGATACAAAAAGAATGTTCTAGTAGTTGTTTTGGAAGTCTCTTTCTTTGCTGTTTCAGCCAGTCACACATATGATCTTATTTAACCGTTCAGCGTGGTTTGACGCGTATGTTTCGTCCAGCTGCACACCTATGTTATAACGCCCATAATAATTGATGGTTTTGCTGTAGATTGTTAGATTTTTCGCTGGCCTGTTGTCACAAGTACAGAGTATACCAAGCCACGAGTTTAGCTGAGCTAAGTCATCGTTACATATGCCTGTCTTGCAGCAAATTCGTGTTGCTTCTGGTAGCGGTTTCCTCATGCAATGGCGTGTTTTCTTTGCTATGAAGTTATAAACAGCAGAGATGTGATATGTGCTGTGTTTATAATATCATATTGCCCTGAGCTGGCCACACTAACACACTCAATTGGAATTCTTAGAAGAGGGATGTCCAAAAATTTATTCTTGCGAGATCGATTTCGCACAGTACATAGGCCCAGTTCTTAGAAAAACGCCACAATTTAAGGCAGAACACTGTGGTCACCCCCTGTGACGATAGGGGTGTGTGTGGGGGAGGGAAAAGAACTCATTGTTTCATGTATTATCGCTCCAGTTGACTCCATTTTATCGTACTGACCTTGGTGGTCGTTTCGAGGGATGACCATAAATATTTTTTTGAGCCAGCTAAGCTCTGCTTTCGTTCACTACAAACCAGACAGTTCTTAGAATAACTTCATGAATTCTGTGGTCACCCCTACGACATCTACTGCCGCCAAAATGGATGGAATATCAAAGGCATAGCAACAACCCCTTGTTATGANCTTTTAAGATCATTTTAGTGAAAGTTTCATCCTTCAAGGCGTACCATTCACTGCTCAAATACTAAACAACCTGCTTCCATTGCCGAGATAAAGGGCGCTCATATTATAAGGTAAGGTTATAAAACCACCTTTTAAGATCATTTTAGTGAAAGTTTCATGTTCCTATCTCATAGAATTTAAGAACAATGATGAATAAATCATTTTCGAGCAAAATTTAAATGGCCGGCTGAATATATTACCGCTGGAGACGCGGCCGCGGAATTTAAATGACTGCGCCAAAGGGTTAATATTAGAAAATTGTCTGAAATTGCCATAGTAATATGATTTACTTATGATAAGTTGGTAGCTTAATGGTTTAAGTCAGTGCAAACCCCCTACATAACTACACAGTTTCTGTTCAATGTATTACTATACATTTAACAGTTTCATAATACTACGCAAGTTCAATACAAAAAAAAAAACCCTGAATTGTAGCCAAGAACTAGATTTGTAAGTGCATGCGATGAATTAGATGCCACTGATGATTCTCATGGTACAGGATCTGACAGGACAGGGCAATGTTTTTAAGCTGGTATGTTTTCACTATTTAACAGAAGCAGATTTTTTTATTTAAATTAATACAGATTCCCAAATTCAAGTATTGTATTAAACTGCCATAAATATGTGATGAAACACATGGATAGTATTAGGAACATTTATGAAATTTTAATTCTTTGCCAAATTACAGGCATTGTCTCATTACTTTCTAATTATTCATAATACTTTAAATAGAAGTAACAAGAACAGGACGATCTCTTACCCTACAAGTTTTAACTATGACAGAAATCTTCTAATTCATGTAGCAGTAATGTATTTAATATGCGTGCAGAATTACAGTATAACTGTGGGCAATTACGAACACCCAACATAATGTAATAACATACCTGGTGTTGCAATGAGGTCCACATATACACATATTTCTTGACTTGCTTATATTTTACAATGAAATCGTGTGACTCTTATTTTCTGAAATGAAACTTGTAAAAAATAATGTATTTCATTTGCAATGCATGTCCCAGTTTCTTGAAGCATGCTACACATACTGTCAAAATGTAAATCTGGCAGGTAAACATTACACATCCCTTATGCAAACAACTGTGTGATGAATCTTGCAGCATTTATGCTGAGTGAAAGTTCAGTATTTCAAACAAAACTAAACAAAATACCACTGCAAGAAATATTATGCTGAACACCTGTCAACATACCAGTGGCTGTGCTATTAATGAAAACATAAAGACTGGCAAAAAAGTATTATATAAAAAATGCAGAGCACACTCAGGCTCATGATCATACATCTCCATTGCTTTCACTTACACTTCGTCAACATTCACACATTCATGAATTTTAATTGAGTTGCAACAATATTCTACAACATGAAATGAAGCAAAACATCATTTCTTTCACAAATCACAATAAATGATTGAAATTCCTGACACTGTTAGTTGACTTCTGTCACTTGCCTCTACCTGTATCATCACAATTTCAAGATATGCATAACCACTTCACTACTGATTTTCTACAATATTGAACCATGTTCGATTACTATGTTCAGATGCAGGAATCCTGATCTGCACCAGGTGAACAGGGCCAGAATTAGTTTGAAGTGCCTGTGTAGGTGCCAGAGCAGCAATAGCCGTTCCATCTTCAGCCACACCATGGGCCTCATCATACGTTGAACCTGCAGAGGAAAGCATATGAGGAGTGGCTGGAACGACCAGGGTGTGACGCCCCTCTCCTCCTCTCGCGTAACTGGATGTGGTGGTGGTGATCTCAGCTACTGAACCTATGTCAGCATGGATGTTAGCTATTTCATTAGGATCAGCAAAATGAACCTGACCATCAATAATCAGATGTTCTACAGCCTCTTGCACTATGTGCTGCTCACTACCATCCTTCAAATCTGAGTCATCACTGCCCATAACAACAGTCTTTTCTGCATAACAGCGGTCACCACCATCTTGCTGAATGATTACATGCTCCTTCAGTTCAGCAATGTACAACTTTGTCTCCTCCTGGTGATGACCTGAATCATCTCCCACAATCGTCATCTCCAATTCTGCAGCTTCTGCTTCAGCTTCTGCTGCTGCTGCAGCAGCCTCAGCAGCCAGATCTTCGTCTGAAGCGAGTCGTGGTTGATTCACCACAATGGTATCATTCAGGTGGCCTTGTGATTGCATGTGGTTGTACAGCAGAGGTTTCCGCATGAATCCCATGCCACAGACAAGGCATTCATATGGCTTCTTGTCACTGTGCACAAAACGGTGTGCATTGCGATTGTCACGGCTGTTGAATGCCTTCCCGCACACTTCACAGCGAAATGGTTTTTCACCTGTTTTAACAAAATGAAATGAAATATTTACATTAGCTCATGCATTTGTCATAAGGAGCCACATAAATATAAAATTGCCACATTAAGTAATGGCATAATAAGGACTATATAATAACTATCTTTACAGAACATTTCCACTAATAGATTAGATCCGTGCAAATAAAAGGTGGAGCTAATATTTAGACAAAGTCTTGAATTCAATATAATTACATTGTACACGTATCCCCCACCAAAAAAAAATTGTCACACAAAATACAGATGTTCCAGAATAATGTAACCATATGTTTTGTGCTTTCATCCTCTAGTTACAGCACAGTAGTTAACAGAAAACTAAAACAGCAAGAATATGCAATTAGCATAATTCAGTGGAATGTTCTTCAATTTAACATTTTCCTTCATTTAGCATTCTGCTTGAATGATACTAAGTCAATAATCCTGGTGTTAAATATCCTTCGTCAAACATTATCCTTGATTTTTCTTTCAAATCTGCTGCTCCCCAAAGAAACCATAAATGGTGGTTTCATTGTATACTTAATTAATGAAAATAAAATGTTTCTATTTCCTAACAGTTTTTTTATTGGATCCATATTTAATGAAGCAAAGTTTACGTAGGCCTTAAATTAAATTTCCTTGGAAAAGGAAACAATGTTTTTGGCTCTCAAAATGAACATCACTGTAGAGTTTCAAATGTATTTCACTGGTTATTGTAATAAAACTGGTTGTTTACATTCATAATACTGTTAGTTCTAAAATTCTGACACCACAATTTTCATATTGTATGAAAAAAAACCTGCATTTTTATTTTAATTCTTAAGAGCTAAACTGCGAGAGAAAAGGATGGAAAGTTATGTAAATATAATAAACTGTATTTTCCATGTTAGAAACACATAATCAATGACAAAATTTTACCTGTGTGAATACGGCGGTGTTTCTTGAAGTGTTCTGGGTACACAAATGTGGCATCACATGTAGGGCACTTGTATGGCCGTTCACCTGTATGAGCGGCCTTGACGTGATAATCCAACAGGCGGCGACGCTTGAAGCCCTTACCACAATCTTCACACTTGTAGCGTTTATCCTGGTAATGTGTGGCTCGTTTATGTGACTGCAGATTGCTGCGTTGGCTGAATGTTGCACCGCAGAATTCACACTGGTAGGGTTTCTCACCTGTGTGAGTGCGTTCATGATCACGAATTTCTGCCTTACGTGCAAAGGCTTTCCCACAGGTACGACAAATGAATGGTTTATATCCAGAGTGCACCACACTATGTACTTCCAAGTTGCGTGCTGTACCAAATGCCTTACCACATTGGTCACACACATAATTTCGCATCCCAGTATGTGTACGCTCATGTTGTGAGAGATTCTGTGCACTCAGGAATGTCTTTCCACAGTCTCCACATGAGAAGGGCCGAGGACGCACTTCATGGGTTTTCGTATGTGCCTTGTATGTGTACTTAGACGCAAAATCCTTGCCACATGCCTCACAAACATAAGGTCTAACCCCAGTATGGGTGTTGATGTGTTCATCCAGAAGGTTTCTTGAGCTGTAACGCTTCCCACATGTCTCACATGTCCACAATTTTGTTTGTGGATAGTGCATGCGTTTGTGCACACGGAACAGACGCAAGTTACTAAAAATTCGATTGCAAACCTCACACTGGAAGTCACCTTCTTCTGTTGCTACATGATCATCCAGATGAACAGATAATTCATTGCGTTTTCTAAAGTCTTGTCCACATATATCACAAATGTATATACGAATATTGTGGTGGCTCTTCAGGTGGTTCACCATTCCTTTCATGTCTCCCAGTATTTTCTCATCACCATTACAAAGCAAACATACAAAATCCACACCTTCCTTCTCCACTACCTTGTCTGGAATCTCTGATTCTTGTAATTCCAGCCTTTGTGATTTCTTCTTGAACATCTTCCTTTTAGCAACATTTTCTCTATCAGTGTCATCATCAGGTTCAATTTTTATTTTCACTTCACAATCAGGATCATCTTCAGTACCAACTTTTGCAGTTACAATAACATCTTGGTTCATGTCACTGTCACTGTCATGTTCTGACAGTTCCACTTCACAGAGAGTATTTTCCTGAAATAACATAGTTACATATGAGAAGTTAATTCTTTCAACTCATTATTACTCTGACAGAACCTAACATTTTGCATAATAGCATGATCATAAGCAGGGCCCGGATTCTGATGACCTAAAAATATCTGAAAAATGATCTATAAAATGACCAAAAAATATTTAAAAAATGACCTAAAAACTAATTTCTAAATTTTCTTACAATCAGGTAGATGCGGTCTGTGTAAATTAGTTTCCAATTTCTTGATTTTATGATACACGGACATCTTTTTAAATCTACCCCTCTGCATTTCTCAGGCATCAATTTTATGACATAGCGGTGGCTTAGAAAGCGGCACGGGACAGTAACGGCAACTCTGGTGGCTTAGAAAGAAAAATAATGTGCCCTCTCACAAACAAATCTATTATATTTAGGGACAGAGGCTAGAGATACAAAATTTACTTGAAGAACATAGATTTCTACTTCACGAATGAAATATCTTCAGTTTGATCAATGAATGTCAATTATTAAAAAACGTGAAAGATAACCAAAATTGATGTAAAATGTGAAAAAAAAAATGACGAAAAATGATGTAAAAACTTGTAAAAATGACCTAAAACTTAAAACATACAAAATATGACAAAAAATGCACAATAAAATTCACATTTTTATAACCAGAGGTTCATAATCGGGGCTTTAGTACTTAAAAGCAACATTTACTACATAAAGAAAAGAAGATGACATGTCATCAAAATCCGGGCCCTGATCATAAGAAATGGCAACTTTTATGGGATATTTTTGGATGACAGAAATGTCAAAGCAAGGATACTTTGGAACACTAACTGTGCATGTACAAGAGCTGTGAAATAAATGAAATCTGCATAAATATCTAAATGTCTAGCATGTACTTTTAGGTTCAGCATGCTGAACATTTTTGGCACTCTGACAAAATACTGGTGAAAATAAACTATTTTCTTTAATACACCTTCCATTTTGGATATAGTATTTTATGAGCATTGTATCTGATTCACACACTTTTGGACACCATGTATGAAATCTGTACTTGTATTGTCACTACATTTGTTCTCTTTAAAGGTAAAGGTAAAGCTGTCCCTGTGCTTAACTAATTAAGCACCACGCCATGAAGGCATATGGGGGGTGAACATATATATATCCACATTTTCTCGACCTCAGTATTAGTTGGAGGTGAGTGGTCGGCTTCACATTCCAGCTGCTTTACCCCCGGGGAAAGGGCTCCCAGTACCCATTGGATAGAAGGTTGGGTGGACCCCAGAGTCGGTCTGGACGACATGGAGAATAAAAAATTCTTGACCCTGCCGGGACTCAAACTCAGACCCTTACATCATCCAGCTCGTAGATAGTCACTATACTGACTATATTACCCTGGTTCCTGCTCTCTTTAAAGACCACAATAATATAATAATCAGTCAAACAGGCAAAAACCATCCCGTAGAATTATCAAATTATGCCTTTACAGTCATAAAAAAAAGGTTTACATGCCAATACCCTTTCTACAAATTTTGATAGCACAAACTTAAACAAATTGTGAATACTAACTACCATGCAAATAGGCTGTAATGATTAACATACATAAGTAAAAATAATGGAGGTCTTTAGTCTACAAACTGAGAGTAGCCTAAACTGGGAAAGTCAGAGAGAACTCAGTTCTACCAAAATTAAGCATAAGTATCACAATAAATTCCCTCAGATTTACTGATGCTCAAAAACTGTTCAAACGGTGTGCTTTCATTTCCATTTAATCATGATATATGATACATTTTTAAGTAGGGCATTTGGCAGTAATAAAATATTCCTTATGCAAAGGAAAGCCATTAGAATCATGGCAAATGCTCAAAAAAGAGGTTACTGTAAAACATTATGTAAGAAGATCCATTAACTACTTCTAGGCAGTAAGTATTTATTAGCTAACATTTATAACAGATAGCTCAAAAACTTCTGGACAAATTCAGGGGTTCATACAGACAATATAAGACACAAACTTGATCTCAACAGACCAACTGCCAAGCTCAGAGATACGTGTATACTCTGCAATGATAAAACTATACGAGCTGCCTACCAAAATTAAGTCTCCATTAACAGTAAATAAGTTACATGGAAAGAATTCCTTTTGACCCACACCAACTCAGTTGATAGACTTCAGTCACTAAGAGACTGTAATCATGTGTATGAGTGTTTACATATATAAAACTATATATGCATATATTACACACAGATGAATCAGACATGTTAAATTTATTTACTTTACATGTTCATATATTTTAACTGTAGTGTAATTTTAGCTCTTTCTAAATGTGCTGTAGATTGGCTAAGGAAATATTAATAGTGTAATTATGTATGTTACTATTTATGGGAAATTACAGAACAATTAATTGTGATCCAGGCAAATGGGGGAGAAAATGGCAATGGATTGGTCATACCCCAAGGAAAGCCACTGGATTGACAAAGAAGTCTGCATGAGACTGGAACCCCCTGTGGGCTTGAAGGCATGGGTATTCCAAAAAGACCCAGCAGATGATGGGTGAGGAAGAAGTGATGGATAGGGGGAGCCATGAAGCGAGGTTAGAAGACTTGCTGTTGACTGGATCCAGTGAAAGCATTTCACAGATGCCCTATGCTCTAGAGGGAGCAACAGGAATTAATTAACAATGTATTCTAATATGCAGTACCACTGCTATGCAACGATCGTAAGAAGGAACGTGTGCTGACTGGTAACTGCCAGTAAACACATCAACAATATTCAAGCTATTGCTAGGCAAATGCCCATAACAACAATAGCGGGATTGTTGGAGGCGGTGTTTTCTGCTGGGTCCATCCCGAGGCTATATAGCAAGGACTTCAGGTGGGCTGAGGGCAGTTCAGTTCAGTAAAGTAGTTAGATGGTGAGAGTGTTCAGGTGGGGAGTGTTAAACAGTGAGCCGAGGAAGCTGACGAATCTCCATTGTTAAAATTCGTTACCAGGAAACGTCTAGTAAAACCACTGCAGAGGAATAGTTATTGTTGTGAGCTGTTACAAAGCAATGCCTAGTGAAAGCAGCCTGAGGAGACTTAGCATGGAGTGATTATGGAGTGGAACTCAGTGATACTGTTATACAAGGGTTTGATGAAAAGTAGTGGCAACACTGCCGTTACATGAAAGATGTGCGTCAGGTGGCACTAGCTCTGTCTGTAGCTGATAGAGGAAGTTCAGTTGAAGCAGTGCAGTGAGTGGCTCTGGTTGTGTTTTATTAAGTTGCACTGTGCATTGTCTTGAAGTGCAGGAGCCCAGTTCAAGCACCCTAACATGTTTACAAAACAAGAACGCTCTTGGATAAAAATTGAAGTTGCATGGGGTCGTAGTGCACAAAACTGTTATCAGGGACTGTGAGAAGCATGTGGTGATGTTGCTTTGCCATATCACACAGTGGCACGATGGGTGAAATTGTTCCGTGAAGGGTGGGATGCCATTCAGGATGACCCCATGTTGAAACCACCCAATTTAGCTTCTTGCTTCTTTGCTGGATGTCGATCGTCGATGGGCTGCGCGGGAGTTACCTGCTGAGGTAGGCATGTCACAGAACCGTATTCCATATTCTTGGATACTGCAAAACTGCAGCACATTGGGTACTCCATACAATGTCCAAGGTGCAACAATGGCAACATTATGCAATTACACAGGACTTGTTAGACCAGTACAAGAGGGAAGGTGACGACTTCCTTGGAAGGATCGTCACTCTGGACAAAACTTGGGCTCGCTCATACGAACCACACTTGAAGCGACAATCAAATGAATTGAAGCATCCTGGCTCTCCTCGTCCAAAGGAAGTGTGCCCTACACAGAGTAATGTGAAGGCAATGTTCATTGTGGCATATGACATTGGAGTGATACTGCACCACACTGTACCTCAATGACAGACAGTAAACGCTGCCTACTACTGCAATTTCCTGCGTAATAATCTTCATCCAGCACTCAGGAGAAAGTACACTTGTTGGTAACAAACCCCATCATCCTTCACGACAATGCAAGGGCTCATACTGCTGATGCTGTCAAGGATCTCCTTCGCTGCTGGCGATGGGAGATACTGCAACATCCGCCATACTCACCCAATATGAGCCCGTGTGATTATGGTAGCTTTGCCAAAATGAAAGAACCACTGCGAGGGACACGTTACAATACAAGAGAGGAGATTATTTGTGCTGTAGGGCTGTCACTGCTGGACATCAATAGAAGTGGATGCGCTGATGGTGTACGACGCCTTCCACAAATTTGGCAGAAGGTGGTACACGTGGGGCGATTATATTGAAGGAATGTAAGTGTGTTTACTACAGGTAATTAAGACATTTCAGAACTATAGAGGTGTTGCCACTACTTTTTATCTGACATTTGTAGTTAGTTGTAGTTATGACCTGTAAGTGGTCAATAAATCTACTCCCCAATCCATATGCCATCTACAGTAACACATGCACATGACACAGGTTACTAGGTCTGTCACAGGTTATTTTGCTCTTGGGATACATGTCTATACATGACAGTACATGTCGTACTGTACTTCTAGGTGTCTTCTGAATGTCAAATACTGCACCCACATTCCACAACTTCCTTACAACAATCTATTTCAGGGGTGAACAATCATTTTTGCCGGTGGGCCATATCATGCAACAATTTACATAAGCTCCATCTTTTAATAACATGGGATGAAAGAATCTCAAGTTATTTAATAAATCTGTACTAACTGTTGTTATTATACACCTAATTATAAAAGAACATGTTAATATTAGGTGAACTTGAATGGATGCAGGAAGAAGCAGCCATTGCTTATTTGAAGGTACAATCCCAGAATCAGCCCAGAGGAACTGAGAAAAACCAGATAAACCTCAGTCAGCACAGAGTGTATCCCCACTTTGATCTAAACTGGGTACTTCCTAAATAAAATCCAGAAGCATTAGTGCTTTGCCCAACTTGCTTAGATTTTTCCTAAATGAAACTGTAAAGGTTCATCTCGGA